AAATTCGCAAGCCATTGTCAAGCTGAGAAAAGAAGGAAAATTGAACATTGGACAAACATTAGGCATAGCAAAGCACAAAAATTTGGAATGTCCTCATCAGCGGTAAGAATTGGAAGGCCACCTTGAAATTTGCAAAGAAGTACGAGATTAGCCGCAAAAGTTCTGGAACACAATCTTATGGACTGATGAGACCAAGATTAATCTCTAGCAAAGTGATGGAAAGGCCAAAGTGTGGAGAAAGAAAGGAACTGCTTATGATCCGAAGCATACAAGCTCATCTGTGAAGCATGGTGGAGGTAATGTCAGTACTTGGGCGTGCATGGCTGCTTCTGGAATAGGCTTGTTAATATTTATTGATGATGTAACTGATGATGTGCGCGCAATCACCAATGGAGCAACATGGGAAGGCAGAGAACCGACATGGGAAGGCAGAGAACCGACCCATGCGTAAAAGGCCGGGGACTGGATGGGGGGGCCCCGCAGCTGTGCAGGTGCAGACGAGGTCAAGACAGCTGCATGTAGAGCAGGCCCAATGTGAGCAGCAGCCGCTCCCCAGTGTCTGGTGGGAGAAACGCACCGCGCACTCACAGAGGACAATCACTCAGACAAAACACTCAGTAATGAGTGAGTCAGGGAGAAGCGGGAGACATCCCGCAGGTAGAAACGGACGAACAAGCACAGGGAAGACGAGGAGGCCGTCATGCAGATGTCGTCCACCGACATTCCATCGTGCAATGCAACAGAAGAGGAGACGCCTCTTGTGGAGTGCGCCCTGATGCCGTTTGGGGGAGATACACCGGCTGACACATAGGCCTGTGAGATAGCCTTGCACAGCTAGTGAGACAGATTCTGTGCCGACAGGGGAAGCCCCTTGGACTGTTCCCTGTAGTGCACAAACAGGCACCAGGCGGCCGTGCTTGCTACATAGCAGGACAGCGCACTGGGCAGAGGAGGTGAGACGTAGCTTCATCCTCAGACCCATTGGGGGGAGGAAAGAAGCCTGAGAGAGATCACCTGCGATTAGAAGGAGCTGGTGATGCTCTTAGGCATGAAAGCAGGATTAGGGCACAACAAATCTGCTGTCACCCTGGATCCGGAGACATGACAGAGCCACAGAGAGGGCAGCCGGATTGGCCGACGTCAGAGCTATGAACAGAGCGACCTTGACCGAAAGGGCCTTCTCCAAGTGCTCGAAATGGGCTTGGATCAGGGCGCGTAGAACTACCGCCAAATCCGACTGTGGAGCAGCAGGCCCCGACACAGGTCCAAGATGCGTCTCCCCCCATCTTTTTCCTGACCAGGAAATAGTGGGAGGCAGAACCCCTGGTTCTCCTCCCCCAGAGGTACTCTGGAGATAGGCTGCTTCTCCAGGAGCTCCTGAAGCTAAGCCTGGAGCTGGAGCTGGAACAGGAGACGCGCCACTCGGAGTGGTGCTGTGAAAGTGGTCAGACCTGCTGATGAGGTCATCTGGTGGCCATGAAGTGTAGCCACCTGCGACCCATGGGGGAGGCTGGGCACCTACACGGTCCGTCAGGCAGGGGGAAGCACTGCCCTGAGTGGCGAGTATGCTTGAGTCAGCCTGACAGCTAGGCGTGTTGCTCTCTCTCGGTGCCGAGGGGAGCGAGCCAACACTAGCCAAACGGGGACGGCGCCGCTTAGGGTGTGCGGTGGAGAGGGTTCACCGCTGTGCCGCTCCCCCAGAGAGGGGAGGGAGGCAGGGGCGGGCTGCAGGGAGAATGGACTGAACATCGGAGCCAGGCTGCACGAAGGCTGTCCAGCCAGCTGCAGCAAGTGGAGGAAATGTGTGTAACGGCGTAACTGACTCATCCGAGACAGCAGCGGGCCAAGGAACATGCTTTAGGGAGAACGGGGTGGGCGGGGGGAGGCTTGGCCCAGCTGACGTGAAGCTTGATGCTCTCTGCCTCCTGGGCGGTGGACCGCATCGTGTCAACCAGGGTCCGGAAAGGAGGACCGAAGAGCCTCCACCAGATCCTTCCTGACAGTCTCGGGGATGGCGGACTGCAAGAGCCACAGGATACGGTGAATCTGGGTCAACACATATCTGGGCAGCGGTGATGACAGCAGTGGCCCAGTCCTTGAGCTGCGTGCTGGCCCCTTTGTTGATCTCTTTTTCTTCCTGGTGGTGGTGGAGGGAGGTAGCCCTCAAGGCTTGACAACGAAGGACGCCGTGAGGTTGGTCTCCAGCGAAGGGACTGGGCTGAAACCCTGGTCTGAGAAGCCTTCCACCTTGGTGATCGGGATGTCGGTGGAAACAGCAGAGTCTTCGGATCCGAGGCGGCATCTTCCTGGTACCGCCGGATTGGAGGGAAGCGCGGCCAGACCGGGTACCGCCTATCCGGCTGGCTACAGGCAGGGCAGAGAGAGCTCTTGGGCCGGAGATACGGACCGCTGACAGTGGGCGGCAGCCCTCTGGATGTTGGCTGACACTGCACACCCGTACGGAGCCAAGCCGCACAAAGGCTGTCCAGCCAGCTGCAGCCAGTCCGTAAAGTGTGGAGGAAATGTGTGTAACGGCGCTCGCTGACTCATCCGAGACAGCAGCGGGCAGAGGAATATGCTCTTCAGGGACAACGGGGCGGGCGAGGGGAGGCTGGGCCCAGCTGACATATGACGGCTAATGTATTCTGCCTCCTGTGCGACGTCAACCAGTGTCCACAAATTTGAGGGCCAAAGAGCCAGCAGAGAAGCGTAACAATCTGAAAAAGAATAAAATTTCCAAGATTCACACACTGCCATGTACTATACATGCAGTGGAAAGTTATGTCCTATTAGACTCCACATTGGTATTTAGCAGTGAGGAAATAATCATGAGTTTAGCCCACAATCACTATATTATCATGCACTTTAGAGACTTTGCCATGGATTGGGCGTATTCAGAAGAAAACCGCAGAGAGATTTAGATTTTTTGTGACTTTAATTTCAGGGAGTTTTTTGGACACAAAATAGTCAATCTAAATATGTGAAAACACTTAATCAATTAAAGCCTACAGATGGTCTATGAAACTGGCCTGTTAATTAATTAATATCTCCTGCCTAAAATCACAGAGGCTTGCTGTATGGACGCATGTTGTGTTGCAACCACAGTGGAACAAGTCAGGAAATCTCAAAATATTTAATCAAGTGGTATGTAATAATAGCTTACTTCTCATCATTAACACTGAGTACATATGTGGTGTGTAGTCCACGTATACAGGGTAACCTTGAGTTACCCACAAACAGAACCTGCTCTATGTGTTTAGAGATGCAGTGTAAACAAACTTTGTAAAACACATGTTCACCTTTTGTAGTACGGGTTAATCGGAAAGTTACACATGACATCACAGAGTTACTCCTGAAGTTACCTGGATAAGCCAGTTACCTTGATTTGTAGTACAGGCCACAGGTGATTGACAGACTGAACACAGACAGGTTACACAACACAAAACAAGAATCAAACTACAAGTAGAACCCAAAACCCAAAACAGACAAAGCACACACAGAAACCTAAACAGAACAGACCAAAAAACAAGTACAGACGAACAGACTGAAATAAAGACCAAAACACAAAGCAGACCAAACTAACCATAAGACAGACAGATATAAAACATGACAGGAAAAACAGACTGAAACTAAACTCAAAGCACAGACCAAACCAACCAACCAACCAAACTAAATAACTATAATACAGACATATTCCAAACAAAACAGCGAAACAGACAAGGAAACACAGATCAGACAAGATCAGAATATTACAAGTGCAGACAGACTAGACCAGGATTGTGACAGGCATTTATATGGCAGTTGCTTGGCATTCTTGTCACTTCCATAAATACATGTGTAGAACCAGCATTTTGATGTAAAAACGTGTATGGAGAGGGAATTTTGTTGGAGTGGAGTGAGAACAAATTTAAGAGATTTTTTAAGAAGAGATTTTACAACTCTTCACTCTAACGATGATGTCGCCCACTAGTTTTACACAAAGCATAAAACATAAACTGTGTTAATTCCTGCATTCTGGAGAAACTTTCTGCTCCAATTTAGGACCAAATTCAGGTGGCAGGAAACAGGTCAGAATATATAGCGTCCCCAGAGTAAAAGATACCTATGATTTTGGGTTGCTGCGACACACTGGGAGTCCCAGACATTACTCTTTTTGGGTAGCTGTAGTGAATGTCTATGGTTGCTGCATTTGTTTTCCAACTATGGTCAGAAGTAATTGAACTAATGCTGTTCTGCTTAACGCACTGCACTATTAACTTCCCTTTATTTCTTAGATTAGTTGATTAGATAATTTTGTAATTAAATTCAGTCATTTAATCAAATTTGTGTCAATTTTCTCCCG